ATTGTAAAGCTACCTTTGACCTTACATATTGATATATTTTTGTGCAGAAATATGCTTGATAATCAAAGAGAACTGCTTGTATCCTGGGCTTCATATAAGCATTTTTCAATGGCAGAAATCATCCTTACCGCCCCCCAAACCCTCACGTTATCTTTCCCTCCCCTAGAAAAATGTCTTTCTTGCCCTACAAGAAATCCTAATCTTGGCTCCCTGGGGTGTCACTTCCTACTGAATTATGCTTAGAGGAAAAAAAATCAAATGTCCTTTTGTACCCTGGAAAGCAATTGCAGACCCTATAATTCTTTTTTCCCCTGCTTATGTAATTTATACATTGGCTTTCAGTGAAATACACCCTCTACAAATTTGCTTTGTATTTGGAAGACAGCATCTTCAGCTCTGACCTTGTTCCTTGTAAATAAGGAAACTGAATTCCCCCTCCACAAGAGAACAAATCACTTTATCTTCTGGATAAATGAGTCAGTCATTTACTTGTCGTAAAGATGACTTTCTCTTTGGAATTTCGAGCTGTTGAGTAGTTGTTCTAAATCACTTTCAAGCATCTGCATAGTAAACTGAATAGTTTTTCTTCAGTTTTTCTTTGGAAGGGGGCCAGCTCTCTTACACATTCTGTTGGGTAGCAACAAAAAACGATTTTAACACCAGCCTGCTACCAGTAGCCAACTCTGTCCTAAATCTCTTTAGCATCCAGCCAAACTAGAGGAACATGGCAGAGCACGTAGAACTGAAAAAGAAAACACGAATGGTGGATAAGATGTTTCTTGGGACACAGGCTAGTGAAACCCCCAAGAGGGTTAGGAGGGGAGATGCCTACACTGAACCAAGAGCACATCTTTCCAGGAGGAACAGAAAAGGAAGCAGTGTGGTTGAGCACTAGCCCTGGACTCATGGAGGACAGGCTCACTCACTCACTCACTACTCAGACCTTCTTGAAAAGTTCATATTACTTCATTGTTCACATGAGGAATTTGGAGTCTCAGATTGAAGAACTTATTCAAAACTCATACAGGGGCTGGGGCTGAAGCTCAGTGGCAGAGCACTTGCCCAGCCTGTGTGAGGCACTGAGTTGGAGCCTTAACATCCCATAAAAATAAATAAATAAAATAAAGATATGCTGTCCATCTACAACTACCAAAAAAATAAAAAAATAAAAACTCATACAGGCAGGAAGTAAATGGCCAAAGCAGGACTTGAGACCATAGTCTCTAAGCCTCCACTCTAAACCCTTCTCTTTGATATCTTTCAAAGGATTGCCTTCATGAAAAATTTTCCTGAAGACCTTCCATACTCACAAGACTTCTTACTGGAGAATAGAAACTCCATTTAAAGGCCCATTCTTGCTAATCTGGCTCTTAAAAAGGAAGGATAGGGTCTTTTAGTTATTTTCCTAGAAATTTCATGCAATCAGTAGTGAGTATCAAGAGTACAAACTCAGCATATGGTCTCTAATCAAGGGCTCAAGCACACAGTGTCTCTCCTTGCTTGGAAGTCCCCCAAAGGTCACAGTAGGCCCAGGAGTACTGATTCTATTGCTCAGCAGACAGGTAACAATAACAACAGTTATAGCCAGCATTTCTTTAATGGTTACCATGGCCCAGACACCATGCTAAACAACCTTAAATATTACCTCATTCAATTCTCAAAACAACCTTTGAGAAGGCAATTATTATTCCTGAATAAAGTGGTAGAGGATGTCTCTCTAGCTACTTATGCTCCATATCCCTCTCCATCCTTTTCTCTGGAGGGTAGGTGTCCTAGGAGCATAAATATGTGCAAAATTATGCTTTACCAAATGAGCTGTCTTCTAGAAGTTCTACTATGAAGAATACACAAAGCCTTATAAGACATGAGTGGGGAAAAAAGGTGGAAGTAGACCAAGGGAGAAATGTTAAAAGACACAGGTGAAGGTCAAGGTAAGAAACAGGGATAGTCTGCAAAGACAGAAAGTGGCCTAAGAGAAAGAATCATAAAATGTTTTCTAGGCCCTGAGCATATTTGTAAAGTGCTGTTAGTAGTATTAACTTCTTTCCAAAGGACTCAATTTACACACTTGCCAAGGAATAAAGGCAAGGTGCACCCATTTCACGGGGAAGAAACTGAGGCTCCAGAATCTTAATTTATTCATTCGCTGTCTTATGGAAGTAATAAGACCCAAGTTTAACCCCCAAAGTCCATGTTTCCTTATTTCTGATATGAAAGCATAGCTAAATCTAGGATGAATGAGATGCACGTGACAAAAATTGAAAAACTAAAAGCAGGAACAAATTCATATGCAATTTAAAATTTTCAATTCTATATTCACATTTGAGGTTGTTAACATCTGTTATTTTAGCCAAGTCCAGAATGCCAATGTATGTTGAGAAAATAGAAGAAATCTAAACAATAGATATTTATAGCTAATAGATCACTATATTTTTAAGATAATTTAATACATTAAAAATAAGTTATATATTAAACATAGTTGATATATAATATGTAAATATAAGTTAATATATCTAATATATAATAAAATTTAATATAAGTTAATATATTAAATATAAATTTAAATAAGTTGCTGACTTTTCATAGGTTTTATTTCTAAAGATACAGTATAGCTGTTGTGATATGAAAATATTCTTTGAGTCAAAAAATATTGAAAAATTTGAAAGCACAAGAAAGATGATAATTCACAACTGAAGCCAATCTTCAACAAAAGATTTTAGAGTATTGTTTGAAGCCATATATAGGGTACTTTCTCTTTTATAGAGCCCTTTTTATTTTAAAATTATAGGGAAAATGTAAAGGTTAAATATCTACATGATTCTTGGTCCTTTCAAACATACGTAACTAAGATCCACAGGCAAATACAATTAGTAGCTAAAAATTGGGGGTATATAAAATTTGGTTTGAAAGAATAAGTAAGCCCCAGGTCTAAACTGATACAAAGATGTAAAAATTAATTAGGATGCATATGAACTATTCTAGGTCATGAACTGAAAGACTGGCTTGAAGATATATATATATATATATATATTCAAGCCTTTTTTTTTTTTTATATATTTTTTAATTTTTTTTAAGTTAAGCTGGGCATGATAGTGCATGCCTATAATCCCAGCTACTTAGGAAGCTGAGGAAGGAGAATTATAAATTGGAGGCCAGCCTTCACAACTTAATAAAACACTGTCTCAAATTTTTAAAATTATAAAGGTCTAGGGATGTAGTGGTAGAGCATCCCTGAGTTCAATCTCCAGTAGTACAAAAAATTAAAATTAAAAAAATATATATATATATATTTTTACAATTGAAAGGGAGGCAATGTTTCAGAATTAAAGAGGTGACCCAGGTATCCCGCAGTGATGCAGAATCTGCCTTCATGGAAGTTCACAAATAGGACAAAAGTACTACTTCTGCCTAGAACCTGAAGAATTAAACAAAATGACCTCTTCAGGCGTCTTCTTGTCTCATAATGTTTTAAGTTTAATTACATTTAATGAGTAATGTGTTATCAGAAAATACAGCAGAAACTAAGAGCTCAGGCTTCAAAGTCAGACAGTCCTCCATCTGAATCACACCTGTAACCAGTAGTCAATCATTTGGAATTGTCTATAAAAATGTTAGAAAGTCCCAGAACATTCTGAGCTTAACATATAATTTTAAGAAAAGAAATGACTTAGTCGTCTATTAAAACACTGACAAACAGGATAGAGTTTCTATTTCTAGAGGTCACAGGAGTCGCTGACTCCACCATATCTTCATCTGAATTCTCTCTAGGTTGTCCGTCTAGAGTTTGCCCTGAGTGCACTACCCTTAAATTCTTCAGCAGAACTTTTCTTCTGAATAATCCTCACATTGCAGGGCTTCAGATGAGGTCCTGACATTTTACCAAGGCAGGAGGTGGAGCTAAAACTTAGCTGGAATTCAGTAAAAATTCTGTTAATTTGATTTCTGTGGCCCTACATTAGCTAGCTGATCTACATCTCAAACTCTTCTCCTTCTAGTTAATTAAATTTTTAGAATGAGGGAGATTCTAGGTACAGCTTTCTCTGATTTCTCTAAAGTGAAATACATTTCGGCTACCAAACTAAGTACCCTCAGTAACCTAATGAAAAATCTTCTCTCTTCTCTGCTCCCATCACATCCTTTATTTCCCTACTTTATCATTTAGCATGGCTTATTATGTGTTAGTCTCTCCTACTAGATTCCAAACTACTTGAGGGTAGGTTCCATGTCTTAGTTATATCAACATTGTTAGCATTTGGTCCCTGCCAAACCATTAGAGATTATCAATCAATGTTGTTCTGAAAAGAGGTATGAAGTGTGATATTACAAGAATAAATAATGGAACCAAATCCATCTGGGAGTTAGGAGCTATAGTTGCAGTTGGCTATAGTTGCAGTGGGCTATAGTTGCAGTGCTAGAACATACATATATCCCCTCTGTAGAATGGGGATAATAATATATACCTTGTAGGATTGTTGTAACAATTTAATTAACATACCAAAATGCTTTCAACAGTGCGTTTAATTCTTATATGTAGAATAAATATAATTATTAGTCCTCAATAAATATTAGCTTCCATCAAACTGGAAAATGGAGTGACCCTTTCATGGCTACAAGCTAATTTATTCCAAAGCATGTTGAGGCATCTTGAGATCAGACATTCTGCTTCAAAGATGGCCAACCTGACACCATTCACCTTTCTGGAAACTCACCTCAGTCACCCAGAAAGTCACTATCAATTCACTGGTGTACATACAAGAATGAAAGATTATCTGCTACACTTGTTCTCATCCCTGACTCTCACACCCAGATTTCAAACAGACTTGGACTAGGATGAGGCAGCTAGAGCTAGGCATGTAAATGGAAGGTCAAGTTAGAGGTGGAGAGGTCGGTAGTCCAAGGACTCAAGCCTCAAACAAGCTTGAGTTACCTGGAGATTTAAGACAAGCACTATTTGCGTCTGGGTTACCCTTCTGAGTGGCCCAGGACCGGCGTAGCCTCACCTTATGGAACTGCGGAGGGTATATTCGAGCAGCCCCATGATTCAACAGCAGCTGGTAGCAGATCTCCGGCTGGGCAGCTGGTCGCACCGAAGTGACCTTCAGCACGTACTGGATAGCAGCGCAGCCATTGATATCCATGAGATTGGCTTCTGCACCAGCTTCCAGCATCATGTGCATGAGCACATGGTCACAATTCCAGGCTGCCTTGTGGAGGGGGGATTTAAAGTCGTCATCCCGGGCATTGACCTCCGCCTTGTTGTCGAGCAGCATGCGGCAGATGAGGTGGTGCTCCCTGCTGTACTCCTGCTCTTTAAAGCGGAGGGCCCAGTAGGTGGCGATGGCCAATGGCGTCTCCATGTGGGCGTTCACGCTGTCCACGATGGCCCCGTGCTCCACGTAGAAGGCCACCAGCTCAGAGAGGCCGAAGTGGGCAGCCGTGTGCAAGGGGGTCTCCTCATCCTGGTTGTTGGTTTTCATATTCACGTTTGCACCTAAAGGGGGAAATTGAGTCAGACAATTACTTATACTTATTTAGTCATTCTTCCCAGGGTTCATTGAACATGACTTTTCTGGGTGATTCCTTTTAACCCCTGACATCTCCCCTCCTGACCCAGTTCCATTTCTCATCCCCGTGGAAGTCACTCTTTTTAAACAACAGCGCCACCTCCTGGAAAGCCCACAAATGCACCCAGGGGAGGGGAACACAGAACAAAGAAGGCCTTGAAGAAGCTCAGTTCCTAACTCCCAGGTGGATTTGGAAATATCAAATGATTTCTATAACCATAAAGCTTTTATTAACAAAATACCAAACGCCATTAAAATAAAGGTTATATCGCAAACTTTGAAGCTCAGATGGGTGACTTTAAGAATCATCGATTGTTTTGAATTTCTTCTCGTTCAAAGCTGATGAACCTAAAAGTTTGGTGCAGGAAAACTTCAGTGGCATAGAAATTACCCGGCCTTTTCATTGAAATCACAATCTTTGGAATACAATGAAAATACAGAAAATACATTTCTCTCTCTCTGGCCACCAAACTAGCCTAAAGGTCATATTTTGCATTAAAAAGGGTAAAAGCTACTATAATAGAAATACTCCCTGAAAGAAAGGAAATAATTTAGAGACTGTAATATGTTTGATTTATGGTTGAGAAAGGATATTAGAAATACATTTTTTTTGTGTGTGTTTGAAAAGCTCCTGGAAATTATTTAATTCAACCCACTTATTTAACAGACCAGGAAACTGAAATAAATTATATTTTTTGATAAGTAATGTTAAGTACTAAAATGGTCAACTTGAGAAGCTGAAATTTCCCTTCTCCATCTAATTTAATATGGCGAACCAAATGACCCCTAGGGGGCCAAGTCTATAATCAATTCTAGAAATTTTTATAGCTACTTCAAGTGTAAGTCTGAAGAGATGTTATTATTGTTATTATTATTATTATCATTATTATTTCAATAACTAATATTTATTTTGCATTTACCCATGTGCAACCTTCTGAGCTAAATTCTTTTCATTTACTGCCTCATTGAATCTTCCCAGCAACTCTTCACAGTATGTGCATTTTTAATCCTAATTTTACAGATGAAGAAATTTGCACTTAACAATTTGCCAAAAGTACAACAAACTAGTAAGTAGCAGAATCATGATTTGGGAACATACAAGCTGGCTTCAAATTCCCTTATTACTATGCTATTCTACCTCACTACTATTTTTCTGCAGAAAATTTTTCTGTACATTACTTTTGTTTGATATTTGAAAAACAGAGCATAGTAGAAAAATAATGTTGTATTTTTTAAAATTCAAAAAATCTGTTCTCTATGGATTGTTCATTTATGCCCTTATTTATGGCATATGAAACATACTTGAGAAAAGCAATACTTCCACTACCAAGCTTAGTATGCTACACAAAATCAAACCTCCAGTGAGGTTTGCAAGAGCACATTGCTCTCTGCAAACTCTGAGACTGTGTACTTCTAAATTGCAGAAATTCGAGCTGCAACCAAGCTGATCTTCCACCGAGCCCCTGTATTCATCAGTATTCTGCCCTGGAAAAGTTCTGGGTGAGGTCTTCTTTCAGGTCAGGTCTTTGCTCAGGAGTGAAATGGAATGAATAAGCATGTTTTCCCAGCAGCCATGTGCAGGGTCACATCAGTCGCTGGAGACTTTCCAGTAAGGGAGAGAAGCAGAGGGTCAGGATGAAATTTTTACAGGCCAACGTGGAACAACTACATCCTTTATTTTTTAATGGACTTGGACGTTTACAATTGATCCTTGACCCCTTGGTACAACTAGATATGCAGCTTGGCTGTCTTTTCTGATTAGGAGCTCCTTATTTTTATACTTGAATTGTGTCTTTGAGAATAACTATTCCAGGGAATATTTAAAATTGGATGGTTTGACTACTTTTTGACTTTAGGTTTTGGGGATTTATTCAAGAAAATAGATCAGAAATATAATTTTTGGTGGACTTATACAAATATTTTTTTAATGTGAGAGTACAATGCATTAGTTTCCCAGAGCTGCCATAATAAAATATCACATGCTGGATAACTTAAAACAACAGAAATTTATTCTCCCATAGCTCTGGGGACTAAGAGTCTGAAATTAAGGTGTCAGCAGGGTTGGTTCCGTCTGAAGGCTTGTGGGGGAGATCTCTCTCAGCCTCTCTCCTAGCTTCTGGTGATGGCTGGTAATCCTTGATGACCCTTCGCTTGCAGATGTCTCTGTTTCCATCCTCAAAGGGCATTTTCTTTGTGTCTGCTTTTCATATGACCATTCTCTTATAAGGACAGCAATCCTATTGCACTAGGGACCCACCCTGCTCTAGTATGACCTCATCTTAATTTAAGTAATGCCATCTGCAACAACCCTCTTTCAAATTCACATGTTGAATTATTGAAGATTGAGGCCTAAACCTATTTCTTTTTTTTTTTTTTTGCAGGGGTACGGGACATAATCCAACCTATAAAATGTAACTTGCATTATAGAGTATTTAAAATGCACATTTTAATTATCTTACATATATATTCATATATAATTATAACGTTACCATACATACAATTATATCCCAAGTCAAGAAATCAAACGCTTCTTTAAAAAATTTTTTTTTAGTTTTAGTTGGATACAATACCTTTATTTTATTTATTTGTTTTTATGTGGTGCTGAGGATCGAACCCAGTGCTTTGCACGTGCTAGGTGAGTGCTCTACCATGAAGCTATAACCCCAGCCCAGAAATCAAATACTTCTAGACCCAGAAAAGCCTTCTACTTCACTACTCTCTCCAAACACAGCTCCATTTTGCCAAAGGCAACCATTATCAGAGAATCAGGTGTATTCAGTTAATCAGATCTCTGCATTTCTTTTAGTTTTTCCACTTTTGTATATAAATCTAAACTAGTAGGTACTTTTGCACTTAGGATAGATGAAATCATGAACACATATTCATTTATGATTTGCTTCTTTCACTCAACATTATGCTGGGGAAAACAATCTATACCATCATGTTTAACACTCATTTATTCATTTTATTGTGTTCTATCTTTTAGAATAAGTAACTCATGATTTATGCATCCTACTGGTAATGGATATTTCCAGTTAAGTCATTCCAACCACAGTGTCAATCCTGTATTCCAGTGCTCATATACAAAAAAAAAAAAAAAAAAAAAATCTCTGGTTTCTATACCTATAAGTGGAATACCTATAAGTGGAATGGCTGGGGCATTGAGTATGTGTATCTTTAACTTCATTAGATAGCATCAAACAGGTGGTTGTGCCAGTTTGTGCTCTAATGAGTATGTGTGAGGGCTCTTTCTGTGCCACATCCTCCTCAGCAGTAGTATTTTCAGTCTACTTAAATTTGGTCAATCTGTTGGATACTACATGATATCTCATTGTGTTTGAATGTTTTCTCTAATTATCAATTAAGTTAAACACTTTAATATTTGCATTACTTTTTATGTGCTATTATTAGTATTCCTAATACTAATATGGTAGTATGTGTTGCCATATTATCACTTTAAACATTTTTAAATAACAACATAATATTCCAGCAAGTAAGTGTACAACCTACTATTGGACATAGAATATATTTCCAAAATTTTGATCTTATAAGTTAGAACATCTGAAATAGGTTGAGGATCTTTATGAATGATTACCCAAAGTTACATTCATCTTTCCCATTGATGCATAAAAGTAGCTATTTCCCTCAACAGTATGTTATTATAAATTTTTTTTAAAAAAATTTGATAGTTAGGAAGAAGAAATGGTGTCATTTTTAAAATCCGAATTCACATTTGATTAGTAGAGTTGAACATTTTCTTTGTAATTATTAAATAGTGGTGTTTCTTCTTTAGTCCATGGTCCAAATATTAATCTACTTATATATTGAATCTTTTATGCTTCATTTGCATTTTATGAACTCCTCACTAAATTAAAATGTAAGCTGATGCTATCATAATGCTGTATATTTGAACCATTTTATTCAGATTTTTCCTAAATACAGTGGCAATAACTTTAGATAAGCCAACTTTTCCTTGTTTTTCTCCTCTTTATATTAGAATGTCCTACTTCTCTCAGAGGTTGTATAACTATCCAGATTTATAATATAGTACTTTATAGATTTTTTTAACCCATAAAATATTTAACACTTGATTCATCTGGGCCTTATTTTGATGTACACATCAATTTAGAAAGATTTGATTTTCTTATACTATGGAATCCTTCCATGCATAAATACGGTCTATTTCTTTAAGAGGGTTTCTTTACATTCCTGTAAATTTACATGCCCTAAAAGAGTTTGTGAGTATTTTCATCCTAGGTGAGCAGGATAAATGATTGGGGATAAAGTAACTTTTCATGAGAGGATGCCCTCCATGAACTTTATAACTCATGCAAGGCACTCTGGAATGCCAACCAAGGAGACAGATAAAAATTTAAATTTTCTATGCATGATAAAGAACAAGGACCTTGCAAATTTCACCTGTGGGTAACAGACACCAAGGTTTGTGTGCACTGAGAATGGGATAGGGCCCCAGGCCCAAGGGAAAGGTAGTTGTGGGGAAATGTCCTGAAGGCAGGATTGAGGAGGGATTTTAACACGGTGCCATTAATATTAATTTTTCCTCTTCTGCCATTGTCTTCTTTTGGTATCTTCAAGAGATAACAGTGATTTCATCAGTCCTAGTGAGGAGACCTCGGGTTAGCTGGCCATCCACCATCAGTCGTCACTGTGGCTCCCTCTGCTGGCCTTTCCTGCTCCCTACAGGCCAAGCATCCACTCCCTCCAAGTTCTGTCACTTCCCAGAGAATCAGGGGAATGGGAACAGGTCTCTGTCACTGCAGAAACTCTCACCCCTCTGTCTTCCCAAACGTGGGGAATCCCTTTCCCCTTTCCATATCCCTACACCATCCCCTCTCTTGTCTCCATGTCCAGATGGTCATGATTTCTTGAAGATCTCCTGTGGGGGAAAATGGGGCTGAGTTGGAGG